TTTTTATTGAGATTAAGATTGCAGTTGGTTTCTATAAGTTGCATTCATGTAAACCTCTTTCAAAAACAATTATACCATATTTGTAACAAATTGCATCTTCAAATTGACTTGAGTTTTTTTATTCAAATTTAGAAAAAAAGCGTTGGATTAAGTCCAGATTAAATAACCTGTTTTTACTTAAAATTAGCTATGAGATTWGTCAAAAATCTCCAAATTTGAACATCAGCATCCAATTTTCAGGCACCCATTGCTGCAATTTATTTAAGCAAACCCAAGCCCAAAATTTGGATCCTAGTTATATTACACAACATGCAAGGTGTTCATTTATTGGCGACATTTCAACAGTAATCTTTATTTAATTGAGTCGCAAACTTTTCACTGATTAAAACCTTTCTTTTTTGACCAAGAATGTTCTACCACGATAACAAACGGATGTTGGAGAATGGCTTTTATTTCCAAATATCATTTAACTTTTACTTTTAATTCTGGCTACAATTCGCAAAAGATCATAACCCGTAAACCATTTCTACTGAATTTCATTGGCTTGATAAAAACCTGTGCTTTGTAGTACTGTTACAATTTGATGTACTGTTCTGCGCGACGTTTTTCTGTTAGTAATCGAGAATGGTATGAACCAGGGTATAAAATGGAATATTCAATTGTAGCACGTAGCACTGATGCAACCGTAATAACACTCCAGCCCCACAGCAATCCCTGCGATCTCCACTTTCGTCATTTTCCTCATAGGCAAAGTTTTTGGAGCAACCAGAGTATAAATAATGAATTCTGGAAAAGTTTAACAACAGGTAGAGGTTTAAATACATAATGTTAAAATTGGCAAACAGTACCGTCAAGCCGTTTCACATGTGTTAAACTTCTTTTCCACAGAACACAAATTCAGTGCCAATTCTTTATTCTTTTCCGAGATCCGTGCTTCTTTTGGTTTAACATTTTCTTAATTGAGAATTAAGATTTGACATATGACACCCACTTTTGACGTTTTAAAAAAAAATTGGTTTAAAAATTCACCGTTAGTGGCGCCACATGAGGAACGATTATAAATTGTTCAAAAACATATTTTTAGGGCTTATGGAAAGGCCGTATACGCTAGTATGAATGGAGTCGGCGATGACCTTTGTGGACCAACTCAAAGTGTTTCCGTTAGATAGCGCTATCGTAGGAATGTTAAAAATTCAAACCTTTAGTATTTTAATAAGAATAAATCATTATCGCGTCTTAATTTAAAACAAAACGCAGTGTTTTAGCATTTTACATGCAATAAATTTTCATATTTATATTTGACATTTAGATTTGTCATTTAACAATTTTTCTTAAATGGCCTCAACTTTCCGAAATGGATCCAAAACCGCAATAGTATATTTAAGCATTAAAAACGGTAAGTCCTTAACGTTCGTGATGCTCATGACATTTTTTGCGCGATTGATTTTTGTTGGTTTTTTTTTAAACAAAATATCTAAAAAAATGTTCTAGAAAGTATTTTGGCGTTCTACAACATTTTTGAATGCTTACCGACTTAGCAGCAATAAACAAAATACTTACCACCGAGTTTGGGATAGCAACGAGTAAATAGAACTTACTGTTTTGGAAACAGACGTAGTAAACAATCGAATAGAGTCTAATCGCGCAAAAAATATAAAAACAGTAGGGTCCAGTTGTTACACAGATTCTTCTTTTACCCAGAAATCAAATATTTGTGATCTCTAAAAACACATTAAATTGCTAGTGTGACGATTGAAATGGCAGGAGGTGTAGGTATACTTGAGCGTATTGTTGATGACTGTTCAGTTGGAATGGAGTGAGTCAATCTTGATTGGTTTTCCATGCAACATAATTTCGGAAAACTTCTAACATTTTAAATTTCAATTCAATTTTAATTTTAGTTATTTTTCGCAGATAAACAAGCAGCTGTATATGGACTTCACTATGGTAAACAGCAGTTCTTTTGGTTCTGAACAAGATGGAAACACGAAAGCTAGTTGTATGCAAGCCCATGGCTTGCACACCAACAACCAGTCGACAAGTCCTCTCACAGCGAGTGGTGCAACGCAATCCAAAAATGATTTTTCGGAAACAATCCATGGAAGGCAGCTTTGCAAGTCATTCGCTGTCGAGCCTGTACCATCGCAGACTGAGTTTGAGACACCTAAAGCTGCTGTAACGGATAAAACAGAAGCCAACGAATCAAGGAAAAGTTTATTTTGTAGTGTTCCACTAGAAAAAGTACAACAAATCTTACCTAAGTATACTTGTTCAAAAATTAAAACTACACGAAAAGTTCTGTGTCTGTTTTGTGAACGGACATTTGTTAATGTTAATCTAAGACAAAAACATGTCGAAAGGTGCCATTCTTTTAAACAATTAAGACGTGTGAGTTTAAGAAAGCATCAGAATTTTCTGACAAATACGTTGTGCAATTATTGTGATAAATTTGGTTCGACTGAACACACCTTGAAAGATCTTTTCAAGCATTTGATCGAGAGTCACTCTAATAAATATTTCGGTTGTTTATTGTGCGAAGAGAGATTTCTCAATTCGGCGCATCTTCTCGAACATAATATTAGCCATCACAATTTCGTACCCAAAAATGAAGAAACTTCCGATCTTAACGATTCTGTATCTCATTTAAATGAAACAAGTGCTAAACCTTTAGAAGTTCAGGAAGAAGTTCCTGTGAAGATCACTCGAAGGAAACAAAGGACGAGAAATGAAAATAAAGTTACTGTTGTCGGGTCCAATGAAGATACCAATAAATCCACAAATGTAAAAAATCTCCGAAGTAGAAAATTGACCGTAAAAAGTTCAAGAATGATTATAAAGAGAAGCAAAAGATTACAAGCCAAGCTAGGTGAGACGAAGAAAAAACGAAAAGATGTAATCGAGAAGAAGAAGAATGATAGGCAAGAGCAAATAAGTGAGAAATCTGCAAAAGCGCTCCCAAGTCACGTGAACCCTTATCCCGAATTTGATCATTTTTACCAAGTGAAAAAAATCACCGATCATTCTATAGATAACTTAAAAATAAGTTCTCTCACTTTTGATGATGTATTCGATAAGGCGTTTTTCAACAGAATCAAATGCAACATCCAGGAGAACTTACTGCATCATATTGATGGTAAATTATTCAAGAATGAAGAATCCGAAAGCCGAATATCGAATTTTGAAAAGATTTCAAACATTCCCCAAGAAGTACACAATGTAAATTCGGAAAGTTACGGTTGCGAATTGTCGATAAATGCCATAGCACCCACCACAACATTATTATCAAATCAATTCGGTGATGATCCCGAATCACAAATTGAATACGGGTCGAAACCTTCCAAGAAGAAAGCTCAAGTGAAGAAAGACGAAGTCCATTACAAATATTTCACTCGGAGAAAATACCAAGCGAGCATCTTGGAGCACAAGGAGAATCGAGATTTGAGCAAGTTGGACATGTGGACCCAGTACGTTATTAAAAACCGACAGCAGAAGATTTTAAATGATAAGAAAAGTCCAAAAGAGATTCTTGATTATTTCACTGGTGAAGAATATAAAAGTATCATGAGACGAGAAGAACTGAACCGAATTTTGGACCGACGAGGGCCTTTTGAAGATCTGAGAGAAGAAGCGAGTAAGAAAGCAGCTTTAGACAAATTAAATGACCAAACTGGGGTCACAGAGGATGACAATTTTGCCGAAATCGGGGAAATTTTAAACGACATTCTAAACAAGGTGTTTGAACTTGCCAAGGAGTCGTACCCCTCGGTCCAAACACGTACTCCAAACAATACCACCGATTTAGATCAAAATATTCCCGAAATTCCAAGTTATCTAAATTTGAGACCTCGTGTAGGTTCACTTTCCGACAATGAGATTGATAAATCGGACAAAATCGCTCTGATATGTTCGTCGCAAGAGACTGAAAACTTCGAACTTCCAAGTAATACAGTTAGAGGCAAAAACGAGAAGGTGGAATTGACCGGCGAATGGGCCAGGTCACGGATTTACGTTTGCGCCGCTTGTGGTCTCAAACTTCAAAATATCAAACAGTTCTTGGAACACAAAAGTGCTTCTCATCAGTACATTTGGATGCAGCATTACGAATTCGTGGGGAATCAGAGTGAACTTTACAGACACTTGAGTATACCAGTGTTGGGTAAAGTAGGAGTTTTGGAGAATTTGGTTCAGTGTAAAGTGTGGAAAAGGAGTGATGCACGCTTGTGTACGAAATGTGGGAAACAGTGTAATAGTTTGGGGGAATTACATCGCCATATACTCGAGTGTGGGGGTGATTGGACTTGGATGTTGGCGAGGAAGAAGTGCAAGTATAGACCGTTCGGGGCCAAGTCCAGGAGGAAAAGGAGAGGTATTTCAGTTTTAGTTTTACAAATTCAGTTTTTTTAACCTTTGATTGATATGTGTGCGAATTGGACTATCTTTGCCGTCTAAAAATAACTACTGAACAAAACTTACGCTAGCGTGAACAGAATTATTCTACGTTGACGTGTATCTGTAACAATTACTCTGTGGTGAGAGCAGTTTCTATTAAACTCTTAGTTTTTCGTAAAAAAACAGTTCGTTATTAGAAAATCTCTTAAAATGTGACCGCTTTTAAAGAATAATAACTTTGTGGCATTAACAATCTTCCAAATCACAATTATGTAATTGTGTTATTCTTGAACAATGAAACGATGAAAACTTTTCCGTTTCACTTATGAAGTGAAGTTTAATAATTAAAAAACGCCTTTTTTAGCTTAAAAAAAGTGTCTGTGCGTACTGTACACTTGTAAAATATCGCTTTTGGTTAATTTTTGTTGTTTTTATAGGTTTAATCAAGAGAATATATACACAAAAAACCGAGCCTTCTGAGAAAAAAATATACAAGAAATCGTTTGACATACCGCGCCAGAAACCAAGCGATGGTAAAACGCTGTTTCATATTAAATTTTTATATTGGAAAAATTTGTTACAGCTGACACAATTAAACGTATGTTGGCAAATTTACCTCCGAAAAGAGCTACTCGAAAAGTTATGTGTCTTAAGGATGGTTTTAATACCTCTACCAGAACCAAACATATAAAACCGACAAACCAAACAAAGTTCAAATGCGGAAAACTAATTCACGGGAAAACGAAAGAACTAAAAACTACAAAACCCGACTATGAGAAAACTAACAAAAATCAACCAAACCACCACAGGCGTTCGTTAAGAAGTTTAAATAAAGTTCTCACGAGTAGAATTTTGGAAACGAATTCGTCGTTAATTGCGAGGCGGAAATACAATCGCACAATAAACAGCGAAAAGAAGAAATGTAGTCCTCAAACTAATAAAACCAACGACGAGACTTCACAACAATCGGAAGAACAACTTCCTAAAAAGATCACAAAAACAAATTTAAACATTGAAGAAAAGGGTCCAAAGGAAGAAACGAAATTGAAACGATCATCGCCAAGAATTGAGAAACGTGTGCAATTTAATGGAGACAAAATGAACATTAAACGTTTTTTTCCTGTGAAAAAGAAGAAAAACGGTGAAAATCCAGCCATAAAGCGTAAATCTTTGGACGAATCGCCGTTAAAAAATCAAGTCAAAAAAAAGCCCAAGGCGGATGTTAACGAAACAGGTGGTACAAAATTGAATCTCCGTAAAAGGAAAGTTTCCGAGAAGAATAACGAAAAAACTACGGTTAAAACTAGAAGATTGCGAAATAACGCAAGCGAGTTTGATACACCAGACGAATCTTCTACACAACACGAAAATAACACTCAACGTGATATGAAACATTTTTTTGAAAGAATTGTTCCGAAAAAAATTCCTGATCCGCCTGAAGAAGCAAAAGATGAGTTACCGCAAATAGAACAAACTGAAAACAATGCAACATTAGAAACGACCATTTTAAATGCAGAAAAAGATGAAAAATTGAATGAAGTTCAGTCAGATGTTCCAGTGGTTACTCAAACTATTAATCCACCAAAGTCGAAAAGAAAACTCAGAAAACCTATAAGAGGTTTGAACGATTGCATCGCGATGCTGACAAGCAAACTGGGTCAAAATTTTGAAAATTTGGCAACAAAGGATTTATTTAATGAATCTCAAGAGAGTAAATTGGGAGATTCAACAACCGAAAAATCTGAATTTATATTAAAGGTTCCGTTGTTTAATGAACATTTTGATTTACATTCCTCGCGGAAGGAGTACGAGTGCCTTGATAAAGAAGTACCGTTAGGAGAATTAAGTTCAAATGAAAATGTAAAAAGTACAAAAGATGAAGTTGCTGATCAGTCTTTTTTGAATTTGAATGAGAAACGTGAAGGTTTGGAGGAAAATGAATCTGTCCCTGCAGTAGATGTAGAAGAGTCAGTGTGTATCCCACTAGTGCCAGAAAGTACCTTAACAGAACCAGTAGACACTAGCAGTAACACAAAAACTGTTAATAGTGATTCTGAAGATGAAATTCCTCTTTCAACACTTCTGAGTTCCGACTCAAGTATCTTCGATGAAAGTAATCTAGGAATTACAGCCATAGAGAAGGAAGAAGAAAACAGTTATCAAATTCTAGATATTCAAGAAAATATTTGTCCAAAATTAAGTGAAGAAGTACAGGAACCACAACCTGTAGATGAGGAAGAAGAAAAGAGCGAAGTAAAGGTAGAAGAGAGGGAAGAAATGAAGGCAGAAGAAGTAAAGACAGAAGAACAAGAGGAAATAAAGGCAGAAGAAGCAGAAGTAAAGACTGAAACTGTACATCCAAATAAAACAAAAGATGTACTCATGGAAATTAATGATAATTTGTGCGAACAACACGAAATTTTAAATCACGTGGCGTCTCCGACGAGTATGGAGTCTAAACCCCGGAAGTGTGAGAAAAATGATTCAGAAATAACAACACAAGAAGTAAACACTTTAATAACTTTGGAGAGATGTTCGGAGAAACTGAATTTTTTAATTAATAACAATATCGAGAATGTTATGAGAATTAATAAAGCCAATTTTCTAAACACAAGTGAGACGGTGAATGCTGACGAATCGTTGCATATCGAGGAGAATTTATCAGCGGATGATTCTTCAGAAAGTAAAGAGAATTCAGCTGCACTAGTCGAAGATTCTTTGATAAAAAATAAGTCTAAGAAAAAGCAATCAACGTCTAATAAATTTGTAAACAAAAATAGAGAATCGAAGGAAAGTGCGGTAAATAGGAAGAGTGTAAGAAGTGCCAAAGCAAGAGCGCTGGAGTCTATCCTCGACGAAGCTTTATTAGAGTTATCTGAAAATGAATTTTTTGAAAATGTGAACAAAAAGAACGATTCTATAATTTCCGAAGTGAAACCCACAGAAGATTCTAAAAGTAATTTTCAAGAGGAAAACGAAAACGAATCTGAAATAGAAAATGCCAAAGAATTGAGAAGAAGTAGACGAAATTCGAAGAAAATCACTTCTTACAATGAAGTCGATTTGGTTGATCCTCTTCTCGACGACTTGGATAGTGACAAAACAATATCAAAAATACTGAAAGAAACGACTAAAGATATTTTTGGAATCAAGCGTAAGAATCGAAAAGTGTCGAAAAAAGTAATAAAGAACGGACAAAACGAAAGAAAATTTACCGGAGATGAATTGTTCGATTTGTTAAAAGCAACACCAAGTGAAAATAACGTTTTATCCAAACCGACAGATTCGATTTTCAATAGTTTCGATGAAATATCTAACGATTTCAATGATGATAATTTTGATGTATTCGAGGATATTTTGGAGAAGTCGATGGCCGTCATCGAGGAAGATTTATCAGAGCAAGCTGTTTCGAGTGTCGAAAAATTTCCATTGAGTAATACCAGTTTTCAAAATTGCACCGATTTGAAACCGAAAGAAAATAAAGTGAAAGTTACGAGAAAAAAACCGAGAAGGAGTAAACACAAGAACAAGACTGAGAATATCGAAAAACCGAATTTACTTTCTTGTACTAGTGACGTAGAAAACGGATCAGCTTTGGAATCGTTAGATAACGATTTGAATCCCAAAAGCAACATTTATTGTCAAATTTGTAACAAATATTTTTCTCGAGTTGAGAGTTTAACCAAACACAAACGCACGTTGACTCACATTTCGAAGTTGTCCGAACTCGAAGCCAAAGAAGCAGCTTTGAAAGCCAAATCAGAGAGTGAAAAAACGGAGATTCCGGAGAAAAACGTCAATCTTTTCGATATTTTAGAAGAGTCGAAGTTGTTTTCACCCCCGTTCTCAGTCAGTGTAAACAACTCGAATTTGAAACTGGCCGATATAATCAATGATGTGTTGAATAAACCGCTATCGAAGAAAGAGGAAAATTCGCACAGCTTTTCTGATATTATGATGTCGAATGAAGGTGAAATACAACCGGAAGTACGGAGATGCAAGAGTTTGGCCGAACGCAAAAGTTTTGAATCGGAGAATTACGTGAAAAATTTGGATTACTTCGAACCGGAAATCAACAACGAAGCTGCGGGAACAATTCTCGAAAAACAGATCACTCTACTGGAGAATATAATCGAAAATCGCTCTACTTTGAGTTATATCGATGAACTTTCCGTTTCGTCTACTCAATCAGTAAACGAATCGTCCACAAAAAAAAACGATTCTTTGAATCGCAAAGATGATACACATAAACAGCCCCTCGAGAACAGTTTCTTGAAGCCGAGTCAGTACGAAGAAATCTCCGAAGATAGCAATCTTCGGAATTACGACGAACAGAAATCGCGCAAAGTACTAAACAGAGATGAGGAATTGTTTTTAGAATGTTGTTCGTTACTGAAGAGCAGTTCCGAAGTGTCGACGTATTCTAAAAAGTCGAATAATCTTCGCAAAGAGTTAAACAATCTCGAGTCGAAACGCTGCGGTGATTGGGTCGAAAATAATCAGAAAGAAACTGCGGATTTTGTCGAATGTTATTCGGATAATACGAGGATGAGGACACCGTTAGGTGATGGATTTTCACAGGATGATTCCAATTCCGCTACAATTTCGTCACATTGGGACAGAAATAGCTCTAGTAATTTCTCCAAGAGAAAGAATTCGAAAAGGGATGATAAGAATTTGTCTTTTGAGGAAATGTTTAATAACAATAGGGATAAGGAGGTTATATTTCGGGAAGAAGACGAACTGAAGTCGGGCCGACTAAGTTCCTCGTTTGAGGATTTAACTAATGTTCTCACTGGAGATACAAAATTGAGGTAAGAAATTTTGAAATATTTAGTCATTAATAAGTCAAAATTTCTTTGTAACTCAATTGCAGGACAAGAAAGTAACTCAAATCCAATAAAAATATTTCATTTTGTTTGTGTAGTACGTCATTGTAATAAAAAATCTTCTTTCAGAAATTTAGAAAATCTGGATGAATCATCTATTAAGACGCCAAATGAGAAGGGTAAAAAATGTAGTGATTATTCCATTGCCGATGGAAAGAAGATGTTAACGAAAGGTGCGATGAAAGTTTTCGAAGGCCTGAAAGTTTCCATTCCTACAGAAGAATTAAACATCGACAAAATTTTAATTTCCGGTCAGTCAGCAAACACATTCACGTCAAGCAGTGACGATTTAACCAATGCATCAAATAAAAAGTCGTGTTCTCTTAAATCTTCCAAAACGAAAATAAAGTTGTCGAGTTTAAAAAAACAAAATAATATGTCGATGAGTTCGAAAATCCATGACGTTTACGACTTTGAGGAAACTCAAGACAATTCTGATATTTTTACGAAACCTGATTTCCGGAGCTTTAGGCATAATTATGAGAAGAGTAAAAAGACTGATAAAGGAAGTGATGATGATAGTCAAGATTTTATTGATGCTGTGAGTTTCGATGCATTTTCTTCCAGTACTTCGTCGGTGTCAGAACAACTTCCAGTGACATCGAAAACACAACAGAATATCACAAAAAAGAAGTGTATGATCATGGGGCGAATATTTAAAAACGCGGTCAAGTCAAAAGATATTGATGAAGACATAAGAAATATTCCAATGCTAGACAACTCGAAATTAGTCGAGGATTTCGTTTTGAGCTGTCCTGATCCAATAGAAAGAAAAGTAAGAATGACAGAAGAGGAGAGAAATTTAGCTTTCGACAGTTTGTTAAATAGTAAATATACTGGCTCCAATATTGATAAAAATCAATCGAAGAATACCGTAAGTAAACGTAAAATCAAAACAAAGAATAAAAAACGGACACACACCGGGTCAGAGTCGAGCGATGATGAATTTAAATTACAAAAATCGACGAAGAAACGCCCGAAAAAGAAGTGCAACAACGTGGAAGAGAGTTGTATCAACTTGGAACAAGAGTTGAGAGAGTGCATTGGTGTAGCGAGCAGGAAAAGTCAAAGAAAATGTACCAGTGGTAAACAGAACGTTTTAATGGAGTATTGGAGTTCAGATGAATCATCGTTTGAAGTCACACTCGAACGCCAGATTGTGGAATCCGCTCAGAATAATCAAGAGCCGATTAAGGAAACCGAACCAATTGTAGAAAGAATACCAGATGCGCCACACATTCATAAGAAGATCAAAGTCCAGACATCAACAAGTAACTCAAATCGTCGTAAGAGGGCAGCTGTTAATCCGCTTTATCATTGGTCGAGTTCGAGTGAAGACGAACGGGATTTGATCGTGATTCGACCAGTCAGGGATGAGATTGATGATGATGAAGATAGGCCGGTTCAGCACGGGTGGATCGTAGGTGATTCTCCGAAAAAGTTAGTCACCATGTTGGCTCAAGCCAAGGGGAAAAAGTGCGAGGTGGATGGTGTTAAAGAACACGGGAAAAAAAGGACGTTTAGTTGATAAAACGCCATTAGTGAATATTATTGTAATTAATTGGACAGTGATAGTGTATGAAGGCATTAATTGTATTTTAAATATATACCTACAATACATTAGTCTCAACACAGAGTTATCCAAAGTCTTAGAAAATTACGACAAATTTGTAAATAAATTTGTAGTTGGAAAAGATTTTACGTATTTAAGGAAGCTTTGTAAATAGAAAATGTGAATTAAATTTCTCCGAAAAATTCGTATTAATTTTTTAACGGTACTAACCAGAGTTCTGTTTAGTATTTATAATGTGGTTATTTTTACACTGCCATAAAGTCATTAAAAGTCTTTTGTTTGTATTTTGAAAATTTTATATGTACATAATATAGGTTTTGTTAAAACAATTAAATTTTACCAATAAATCAAGGAATGTGTTAAATATGTGCATTTTTGTCAAGGCGAGAGTACTTTTTGCTTACAATTAATTAAATTTTGCTCGGAAGTTACAATAAGTAACGTATTATTATTTTGTTGAAATAGCACTATAAAATTTAATACGGTACTGTGTCTATAAAGAGCGGCTTAGAATTTTCTTTATTAAAATTATTTTTCATGTGTTAAAAAGCTCCATCTCTTTTATAATCTCATAAGAGAGTAATTAAACGGCCTTATAGCCGTATTTTCAAGATATTATTTCAAAAATGTTTTATAATTATTAGATATTTGTAAATAAAATTAATATGCAGTGACTTGCGAATATTAAGTTTGGGGTTGGAGTTTACAAAAGAAGTTAATACTATAGAAATGTGTGAAATCCAATACATAAAAAGTTATTAATTTTCTAAAGTATGGGGATAACTTAAATTATTATCTGTGTATAATCCACGCCACTGACTTTTTTTCTACAATAATTAACTGTTTTAGTTTAACGACAAAGCATTTGAAAAGGATGAGGACTTGTTGCTTAGGAACCAATATCAAAATAATGATTATTTTGTATGAAACCATCTTTAACTCAGTAGCGTCCAACTCTGAACCATTGCCATTTCTAATGTTATTTATTTTCTAGATTATTTAATAGCCCAGATTCCAGTCACTTCGAATTTCATTTTGCTTTTTTGGGTTTTTAGTTACCGAAAAGGTATCACAAATCATTTCACTCAATTTCTGCAGAAATTATTACAGGTTTTGCAATAAATATACTAAATTAGGCTCTAGAAAACTTTACGATATTGTCATGGGACTTCGACTTGGACCTATCTTGAAATTGGACCATAATTCTACGACAAACATGGAATTCTTTTTAAATTTTGCGCCATGTTGGTGCATGGACATTTCACCAGATGTCTCTACGAATTTTCTTCGAATTCGACGGGTGGCAGCATAGACATTTGGAGTAAATTATTTTTCATTCTTTAGGCATTGTTCGTTTTTGTCTGAAAAGTGTAAAGTGAGAACGATTTGTGATTATTATATTTCGAGATAAAACCTCACTTTAATAATTATTAGTTACCAAAGTAAAATGAAATAGTATTAATAACCTGTTCAAGGTATGTTTGTGGAGTTTGTACTTGTCAATGATTTACATGTTCTCGCTATCAACTGTTTAGTGCGAATTATTTTTGTCTAGTCAAAACCAATAAGCAGAAGACACGCAGGAATCAACAAAGGAAAATCGTTCAGGGCCTTCTAGTTAGGTTAAATCATTGATGGGAAGGTTAGTGATAACCTGATGTCAATACAACACATCTAACAATCAGAAAAGGGTTGTCTCCAGGTATTTTAGGAGAAGGTTTCCACAACAACAATGAGTGCACCATTGTTTGCATGTTCTCGTTGTTTTTCAAGACATCCATTTGAGGAGTTGTCAGCAGGACAACAACTGTGTAAAGTAAGTCAATCTGAAAGGTTTTCAAGTGATTCGCAGACTTTTTTTCCATTTAGGAGTGTCGAGGGGCATTTCCTGTCGTGAAATGTACATACTGTCGCTCGGAATTTCAACAGACTTCGAAAGGAAGCACTAGCACAATTTGTAAAAAGTGTGAACAAAATGTTAAGGCATATGGAAAGCCGACCGCGTGTGAATATTGCAATATTATTGCTGCTTTTATAGGAAATAAGTGTCAAAGATGTACTAACTCTGAGATTAAGTATGGACCTCCAGTCAATTGTGAACAGTGCAAACAGAAATGTGCTTTTGATCGACACGACGACGATAAAAAGGTATCCTAAATATTAATTTGATTGCTGAATTACCCACATCTTGCAAATGCATTATTATTAACGTGTTTCCAACCGAATTTTGTAATGTGTTTTTTCTTTAGGTCGATGGAAAGCTACTGTGTTGGTTATGTACTTTATCTTTCAAACGAGCGCTAGCCAAAACAAAGCAAGGCGACGCTGAAAGGAGAGCTCACATGAAAATATCTCAGTTACATAAGTCTAAACACAAGGAAGGAAAGTAAGATTAGTTGATTTGCAAATTTTCGCATATTTAACGAATTTTGTTCAGATTACGTAGTCACAACAAGCGCCCACATCGAGTCGACGTGACGAAACTCCCGGCATTAGACAACGACAACGGAATACCTACGAAGGTATCCCGCAATAACGCTAGCCCAGGCTTAATTAGAGCCGAACTCGATCCGAACAGTTCAGATCATGTTGTCGCGATGACTCAGTTGAAGGAAAAAATAGCGACGTTACAAAAACAGCTCAGTATGAAAGATACGCAATTATTAAATAAAGATAAAATGGTTAGAAATCTCTATTTTTTAACAAATGTATTGCAGATTGTGATTTTAGATAACCGAACTGAAGGCTAAACATTTCACAACCGAATCTGAACTCAGAACTAAGATGAAAAATTGCCAGAAAGAATGCGACGATAAGGTTGAAGCGTTAAATAAACGCATCACGAGTCTCTTGAAGGAAGTGGCGAGTTTATCGAAAACCGCCAAGAAAAATAAATTTGCTAGCACTTCGGCGGCCGAAAATTCAAACAACAGTGGTAGTGGCACAGACAGTCCTAGCCTTCAATAAACGGTCACTGATTTTTTTGACTTATAACCGTTTGTAAAATAATGTATAATGCGGTTTTAGAAATTTCATTTCTAGGAAGTCATATTGGAGTCAGATTAGTTTACAAAAATTAACACTTTACAGGCCGCCTTACAGAAAGCGAATTAAGTTGTTTTTTTTTGCATTATCAAACATTAAGTTTGTCGCAAATCAAAATTTGTAAATGGACTCTCTCAATGGCCAAATGAAATTCAAACGTCTAACTTGAATAAAATTTTTAAAAACGCACTGTATATTCAACTAAATTATGCACACACATATTTAATTTAAGTCTGTTATTATGTATTGTCGACCATGTGAGTCTTAATTAATTGAATAAACTAGTTTATTAAAATTGTGGTTCAAATTTCTCATAATCCTTGTGTTAGAAGCCATGTACATGTTATACACAGATATTCTTGTTCACAAATTATGAATCATGGTACAGGTTTTTGCTATAATCTCAACCAAACAACAATTTTTTATAATAAATGATTTATTTACGTTATGCAAATTATTGCCGAAAGAACATAACAAAATGTTAGAAAAACACAAAAGTTACGAAAAATGGTAAATTCGCAGTCCTCGAAGCCATTTTGGATGTAATACTGACTTGTTCCTAAAAGCCTTTAAACATAAGAAAATGAAAACTCGAGTGTTGTTTGAGCTTCAGTAAATGGAAGAAGTTATATACCATACAGATTGTTTTAATATTAAACTGTTAACAAAAAAAATAAAATAAATATATAATTTTGTCCTTAACTAGTATAAAAATTGTAGTATTCCAATTCGGCTGAATTACTGTTTACAAAATAACACACTTTTTACGTTTAATTGGTTCTGGTGGTTCCAACGCGGCTAGAATAGCTTCATCAAAAACATTTTTCAGACCTTTTTGCGTTAAAGCCGAACACTCGACGTATTTTACCGCTTTTAATTCTTTAGCTAATTTTTCTCCTTGTTCCACTGATATCGGTTTCTGTTTGTTTTTCGCCAACTTTTCAGTTGTAGCACCATCGTCGCGTAAATCAACTTGTGTTCCGACCAGAAGAAACGGCGTCTTCTGACAGTGATGTGTTATTTCTGGCACCCACTGAAAATCAAATTAACAATTTGTAATAAAAGTGCCACAGAAACAAGTCGAAACCAAAAAAATCTTTCCGCTTTCAAAAATAAAAAGCTCTGTTAACAAGGGCTATTCTGCATATGCAATATGCTATGAAACTCAAATTTTCAAAATTTGCAGAAAAAACTTTCCCGTCACATTCCTACTTAACGCAGTCACCGTAATAAAATAGGAAAAAATCATAAACATACTCGTAATTTTACGTTGTATTGGCAATATATTTAAAAATGTATGTTTATTAGATTACCTGAACTTATTTCTGTGACAGCGTGTATAACCGGGTTCAGTGGCCATTTTTTAACTTAAATGTTTCCTAAATTGTTTAAAAAAGGCTCAAGATTTATCTTTAACCCATTCTTATACATTAGTCTAAATTACTCTACAATCTTAAATGACTGGTAATAATTATGAAGTTAGAGTTCAGTGAAAATTAGAAAAACTGGAAATAAATAAATCAATCAATCAAATCTTATTATGTTAATTATTAAAATTAATTAGAGTTGTACTCAATGAATTCATTCTTATCTATAATTATGTAATGTTATTTTTTTCTATAGAAAAATATGTGCAACTATGTAACCCGCAACATTATATGTATAATTTAATTTCGCCAATGTGTAAATCTTTGACCAAATCAGGTTAAACAGACACTAGCCTGGAGAATTTTAGCAGGCACACCCTGTATTCATCAGTTACGTTACAACAATTAGAAACAAACGCAATGTAACCAAAATATCGGACATTAGGGCCAAATCAAGTCTGTTTATTCAAGCACTATTCCATAAATGTGTTAATTTTTTTAAATTTGTTGAGGCACACATGGGATTTTTCTTTAATTCCTAGAGATTCAATGGAACCTGCTACTTACTTTTTCCTTAACATTTTCAAACGAGGACGGACTCACTACAGAAAAGCATACTAAGAAAACGTCAGTCTGGGGATAACTAAGAGGTCGCAATCGATCATAATCTTCTTGTCCTGCAGTATCAAACAGCCCCAATGTGTAAGGTTCGCCTCCTATCATAACCGTAACCGCATAATTATCAAAAACTGTGGGTACATATTCTGATGGGAATTTATTGGTAGTGTAACTGAAACAAATCATTAGTACTTCAAGTAAATTAAGTAGTATTTGTCACCTTATCAAGAGGCAAGTTTTTCCCACTGCGCCATCACCCACCACGACACATTTAATTGTTTGCATTCTTCGTCCTTGCTGTAACAACAATTATTCGGCATGAAACACAATTTCCGAGAATTGACACTAATATTTCTTAGGTGCCCATAACGTTGAGAGACGTTTTAAATGAATTGCGGCGTTTGAAAATCATCGAAATAACGCAAATGCTCAAAAGGTTCCAGGAATAAGGATATCAATCATAATGACCTGCCATTTTGAGTTGTTGGCGTCATTTTTTTAACTAGTTGATATCACAAATCTATTTCAACGGTTGTAATAACTAGAGAGGAGCATTTACCTTTTAAACTTTAACGTCCTATAAATGTACAATAAACCTTTATTTCTATATTTCTAGAATTTTTGGGTTGGGCTTGTTCTAAAACACCACCACAAATCACACCAACTGACGAATGATGACCATAGAGTACGCACTGCTCTACTAGATAAGAGACACATGAACTGTCACTTACGGATAAGAAACTAGGAAAAATAAAATAAGTAGCTAAAAATGTCGTTTTTTTTAACGTGACTTTTTGAATAAATTTAACAAACAAGAAATCTAACAGTGATTATATGAGATTTTTATTTTCTTATGTAAAATTTGTCTCATTTGGTGGCGCTACGGTCGTCAGTACATCTATGTTTTTGACCACCATTTTAGGTTAGTTTACAGATTGTGATTTTATTGTTATATGGGTGGCAGTTTTGCTTGCCTGATTTTTTGAATTTATTTGATTCCAGTTTTCTATCAAAGGGATCAAATATTTTGCTTTTTTTTAGATTTTGTTGCAACTATAATCCTTAAAGTTTTTACTGAGTCAAGAAAGAGTCAAGAGTCAAAAAATGTAAAGTAGAAGAAAACAAAAACACGTTTTACAAAACATGTTTAATGAATAAGTAATATAAATACAAATAAATATTTCTTGTGTCAAAGCATTCGAAAACAAACTAATACTATTAGATCATTTTACATATCACATGTCTATTTCTAGGACTCTTTGTCTTCATATTCCGTTACACAAAGAAAAAGTTTAGCGCAACCGTTGTTAAAGTCGTTGAAAATTTTATTCAACCAATCTGGTTTATTTTTCCACGCAATAGTAACTAAATAAACTGGAATTCCACACAAAATGAAGCCTAAACCTACCCCAACTTCCACAGGACTAACGTAACAAGGAAAAATAACAAGAAAGCCACAAATTAACAAAAATATGATAGGAAGAATAAAGCTAATCTTAATTGGTCGATTCATATTCGGCCTCTTCCATCGCATATACAGCAATCCCGTCACACTAATCGTAATGAATAGTGCCTCAACGAACGAAACATAATTAATAAGGACGTAGACGTCTTCGATCATTACGAGGGCTAGAGTGATGATGCACTAAAATTTAATTCAAGAGTAGTTCAGTAATTCTTTCATATTTAATGCAAATACCATAAAAATTAGAGATGGAACTGGTGTCAGTCTTTTCACATCAATCAGTGCTATAGCTCGGGGAAGGTGTCCAGCACGAGCACCGACGAAGAAAAGTCGTGATGATGCAAATATAGCACCGTTCAAAGAACCAAAAGTCGAGCAGGCCACAAAAAATGGAATGAGAAACGAAAACGCTCCCAGTAACTTATCACCAAACGTTACAGCAACTGCGTCTGATGCGAGAATATCATCTCTACTGAGCACAACAAAGTAAGCAAGGTTTGTTACAACATAAATGATGGTGACTACCGGCATCGAAATACAGATTGCTTTAGGAAGATTCCTAAAAAAAAACAATAATCAATACAATACTTCATTGAAAATAACACTTACTTATAAGGATCCTTCAGTTCTTCAGTGACATAGTTAAGATAATTCCATCCTGAGTAAGAAAAGAGGCCGGAATAGAAGGCCAATGCGATATATCCTGGTTCCCATTCGGTCCCTTCCATGGGATCCCTGAAATGTTCAACATGACCAATGCATAAGTAGTAAGCTCCGGCTGCTACGATAATACAGAGAGCAAATATCTTGGTGGCAGTAAAAATGTCTTGGACTCGTGTCACCCATTTGACGTTGTAGCAATTGATTAAAGTTAGTAAACAAACGGCAGCGGCGGCGAGTAATCGCACGGCTTCATACGGTGGATTACATGCACCCCAAAGCGGCTGAAGGATGTATTGGGCGAATGTTATGGCCGTTATGGCGTTTCCGGTCGGAACCAGGATGAAAAGAGCAACCCAGAGGTAGAGGAAGGCAGGCAAAGGCCCGAAAGCTTCACTTATGTAGGCGTAGTCGCCGCCGGATTTGGGAATCATTGTGCCTAAGAAGAAACATTTCCAATGAATTTGATGATAGATAGTGCTAAATTACTTTTGTTAAATTGAAAATAATGGAGTGACAGTAGTAGCTAATATTCCAATAGACAAATAGGTACATAAATAAAGAACTGCTGACTTTGGTTGTAAGTTGACTAACAAAGAGATGTAGTTTACTGAAAGACGATTATTCTATTGTTAGGATTATTTCTATTTGAGTCAATACAAACGTAATAATGCCTTTGCAGTTGAATAAGTGGGTTCTAGACCTTTTCAGTACAAAAAAAGCAAAGGAAAAACATTCAAATCAAATTTTTATATTTTACTCATTCCAACTAGAGACAAAAGTAATTTATAAATTTTATTTTTCTTGATTCAGTAATCGAAATCGTAATAGTGATCCCACGCAAAGATCCTTGACGGTATTATGATGAGTTGTTGACACTTGTCAGTGCTTTATTAGTTTATTCATCGATGGTTTATTCCAACTGAACATAAAAGCACAAAATTATTCGCAATTAAAAAGCATGCTTTAATTTTTATAATACGTGAACTGACTTGTATTATTCAAAAATTAAGTTTATTGATGAAAAAGTATCCCAACCCGTTGATAATTTTTGTTTGGAAGTAATAAGTCGTTAACAGTTAGGTACCTACGGCATTTTTTATTTTTCTCCCATTAAAAACATTTAATATGCTTATGCAAATAAAACGCAAAAGTTATTTATATTAACACAGGTTGTGCCTTTTTGATAGGTATTTAGTTGTACCACATTTTAAAGCTTGAATGATAATAAAATGACAACRAAAATTACGTGTATCGAACTAGTTTTAACGAACACAAATATGTAGAATATGTTATCATAATGTTGTTGGTTTCAACTTATCGTTATAAAAAGATATCTAAACACACACCATTGTAACATTTTCCAGAAGTTTACACTACAATTTTTGATCCAAAATTTCGAAAATGACTATGACATTTTTCAACATTTTCCGAAGGTATAAAATATAATATGTTAAACATAGGTATATGTTTAAGAAATTATTATACTTTGTTCTCTGTTCTTCAAATAAATTAATTTTTACCAAAACAGCCAACTTAAAATTATTTAATTAATAAAACTTAATTGAACACAAAATCAAAAAATGTTTATTTTTCAATAAAATTTGTACGTGGGGCGGTAACGGCAAATTTAAATTATTATCAGAAAGATAAGTGTAGGTAAACTAACAAAACAAATGCTTTGTATCAATACCACGTTTCTGTGGTATAATTTGATAAAAAAAATAAAATAAAACAAAACAAAATTCGCAGTAAGCAGTTCCTTTTTAGTAATACGACTGATAGTAATAATTATAGAGACTTCTCAATTCGCATTTGATATATTTATAGAAAAATATCATTAAATATAAGAAGTATGTAACAATTTGTGGATCAGTATTATTGTGCACTGGAATTATGAAAGATTTATAGCAACTATGAACTATGTTTTGTCAAGGAAATAACATAACACTGGCAATTTATAGCAATTTATAAATAACTGAAGATTACAGAATACAGAATTATGCGCATGCAGTCCTTTGAATGTGCAATATTTTATGAAAAGAAAATGTGAATCATCAGTAAGATAAGTGTAAATAAACAAATGAAATGAACACTAGCATTATCGGTATTGAAAGCTTTCAAAACATAGGTATAGAAGTAGTAATATAAAAAAAACAAAACAAGAGTTAAAGTAAAAAATCTTGCATTTTTATTAGAACTATGAAAGTAATCCCGCTATTATTTAATTATTATCTGGAAAAATCTGATCAGATTCAATTCTAGTGTTTTCACAATTTTTTGAAGCAATTTTCTTGTAAAAAAAAACTAAAAACTATATTTGAATTTTTTTAAATTCATTTGTTTGCACATGTTTCTCTTCATTATATTATTGAACCTTATTTATGAGAAGTGTTTTAATGTTTTGTAAAAGATGTAGGTATGTATTAGAACTGTTAAAAATGATAAATTTTAGAAGTTCACCTTTTACCTTTTATTTGCTAAAGCTAAAGACCTATTATTTTTTAGCTATATGTATTTTTAGTTCTACCCATTATTATTGTTTAATATTTTATTGTCTTTGTTATGATGTATTTAAAGAGAAAACTAACATTTGAAACAAAAACTCATGATGATACTGTTTTAATTAATTGGCGAAACACGTGTCGACGTTTCCCAAAAAGGGATTTGGTATGTTTGTATTGTTTTTGTTTAATTTTTTTTTTACCTTATTCTCTTCATTATTATTTCATTATAACTTTTGTTTATGAAGGAATGTTACAAGCCTATTTCTTAATAAATATGTATTCAACTTACTTTTTAAAAATTAGATGATGAAAAAATCGGAAATTAAAAGTATAGGTACCATTTTTTAATAAAATACTAAGTAGGTAAATCAAATTTTTACTTTACTTGAAAATATTTTTTAGTCGGCTGATTTTCTTAATAAAGCAACCAAGTTTTCAAAATGATCGAACCCTTCAAACGATTTTTTTTTATGAACTCTTGCGTTACTACCGTAATTAAGAATGATGCAACTCCGGTAACCTGAATGTCAGCAACACTGCAACATAATTAAAACTCACCTAATTCAGCGTAACATAAGGCGCCGATCATCGATAAAATTCCGGAGAGAATCCATACGATGAGTGCCTGTCCCACCGAGCCCGAATTTCGCAACACTCCTTTGGGAGAGACAAAAATCCCCGAACCGATAATCACCCCAACGATAATCGCAACACCGTCAATTAACGCCAATTCCTTTTTCATTTTAACCTCAGAATGCGTACTTTGTTCCGAACCTTTCCCGTCATCACTTTTCTTTAACTTTGCCATTTTGCAAGAGCTTGTAAATTTTTTAAAAAGTCGAAACAAGTGTTACCATTCCGCTGCACGCACCACGTGTTTTTAACCTTTATTTTAAAACTCAAACATTGCCCACCGCTCGCACACTTTCGTTCTCGTTTGTTGTGCGCCGTCTCGAACTCGCGGTACGTGTAGTACACATCCTCCTTGCAAGCGATTTTGTGAGATATTTACATTTCCATTAGGGTTAAGAGAACTCGAGGTAATGCAAGCTGTATGTTTCGTATGCGATTTTAGACTAGGATAGCGACGGTGCTGTTACGATACTCTCGACTCGACACTTCAACAGTACCTACCTACATCCTGTAGAAAATTATTGGAGTAATGACTTCAATAAAGAACCTCCGTAAGTGTTAAACAACCGGATGAAAAATCATAACATTGCTAGTAACCGAATAACAAAGGACCTCTTTGGGATTTTAAAACCAATGAGTTATGGATATACACTGTGGCTCAAAACTGTATTAATATCACTCTTCAATGTTAAAATAATAAATAAAAAAGTAGGTACCTACTTATGAAAACAAAGTGAAAAAAATAAAAGGTTTTATAGTGAAGTATAAAAGTGATATAGTAATGAGGCTTTATTACATGTCGATAGGTGGGTACTTCGAACTTATAGGTAACAACGTAAAAAAAAAGTAAAAAACAATAGATCAGTCCCCAATAATACATACAAAATTGCATTTTTGTAACATACCTACTCATTACTTGTATAGGTACTGCTCTCAATATTTTTATTAAAAAAGTTATGGAAGAAGCTACCTGTTGAATTATATTATCATCTTTCAATAATCTATTTGAATAATCACCCTGAATAATGGTAAAAACTAAAAAAATATTATACAGGGTGATTCACGAGGAAATTCTCCATGCAACCAACATTACATTTGTAGCAAAGCAACTTGCGAAAAGTAATGGTGGTTGCATCGAGAATTTGGTCAGGCTCATTATTCCTCGTGAATCACCTTGTATAGAACGAATAGTTATTAAAAACAGACACAATAAAATTTTTGAAATTCCGTATCTCAAAAATGGTAGAAAATTTGTTGTATACCTATATTGCGAAGATTATTTTATCTACTTGCTTCATTTTGATAGCTATGTACGCATATTTACTAATTAAAGATGACGTTGTTTGCGTTGATAAAATTGTTAATTTGTATAGATAAGTAAAAAATTTATAAATACCTATTTGAAAATAATAATTTTTTAACGATTACATTTATGTAGATACTATACTAAGTGCCCTGCTCAAAATGCTTATATAAATAGGCATAATATAGGCATCTACAGGTGTTTTTAAATTGTTAGTTCAAAAAAATTCTGAACTACTTAGTAGACCGTTTTTTATGTTTCTGACGCAACGTTGTATGACCTTATTAAATTACTTTTTGCTCAGTGGCCCACTAACAATTTTAATGAAATTTTCGATTAGTTTTATCTCGAAAACAAAAAAACCTTTATAAAAAAAATTGTAAACAGCTTTTACTTATCACCAATTACTATTCTTTTTGTTGTACTAGCAAACCTGTATAAATTTACATACAGGGTGTCTCAACTCTCAACATTAAGACAGTTCGGAGCGTTGTAGGGGGTGTTCCTTGGAGTAAGTAAAAATATACAGAACAGTTTTTTAAATTCCCCTACAAGGTATTTCACCTTTTAACTTTGACCATTACGGCAACATTGCAACAAACTGCATTTCGCACCTTTTTGAACCTCAGTTGAAAGCGTTGCTAAGATATATGTATTATAATATTATAAATTGATAACACAATAAGCTCAACAAAATTTCAATTGATGAACCATAAATTTGCGTTGACTGTCACCAAGTGATGAACCGAAGTATTTGAGATTTTGTTCAAAACTGGCCCATCAAAACTTGAAAACATGTATTAATATGTAATTGTAATTAGAAATATTTAATTTTAATATCCAACACGATGACGCATCAGTTTATAACATACTTCACCATTTACAATCATCTCAAAGACGTATCTAGGAATAACTTGTATGATTAATGATAGATGGCTGGAGGTCCAACGCAGGTTAGGTAGTTTTAACTTTCTTCTCAATTTAGACAGAAGATTTCACGGTGGGCGTCATTATTTGGCTAAGGTACCTTACGATCTTTATTTTTATTATGACCATTTAAATCTATCCAGAAGGATGCCGGTGAACTGCGCTCACTTCAAGCGGGGCATTTTAATCCCTACAGTAGACTGCGCTCAGAAAATTTTTACTTACCTGCGTTGCGTTAATCTCTATGTGAACTGCGCTCAGGTCGGTCGATATATCTCAGCGTGATGTAAAGAATTAAATTATTAAAAATTAAATTCCCAGGCTAAAGAAAATAGGGATGAACCAATTGCAAAAATCTACTTTGCATTTCGAAATAAACAAAAACGAAATAGGTTATTATTTACATTTACTGAACACAAATATGTATAGGTGTACATTACATAACAGTGTTTTAAAAAATTTGGTCAAACTTATAAGATAGACATTTCCCAAAACTGTATCGATCTATTTGCTTTTCTTTCATTATTTTTTTACATACCTTTTAATACAGGGTGTTTCAGTACTCATTATAAAGTACACCCAAAGAAGTGCTCCCTAAAAGTTCGAAGCACCAATCCATGGGTGGGTACCCCGTTGTGTTGCTACTGAGCGCAGTTCACCTTAAGGATTAGCGACCCTTATTAGCCTCATTATACCTGTTTCTAAAACTGAGAGCAATTCACCCATCCAGAAGTGTAGTTGACTAGATTCTACATAGGAATTTCTATCAATACCCGGTTTTATACTTACCATTACCAAAGAAACTTTATTTCTTTTTTATTAACTTAGTAATTACAATTAGTGATGGTTGAGTGTGATGTGGGTGTTGTATCTTGAGTAAATAAGAAAATTGTCTAAATGGGTTATTATATCCGATTCGGACTGTGCGATGGATAGATATACCTAAATTCATATTTTCATGTTTATATTTTCAGATTCGAACATTAGAAACAAAATTCAATGACTTATTTTTTTATAATATGGCGCTTACAAAATTCGGAAATGCGATTGCAAGCCTCCAAAAGTAAGTCTTCAGGCACAGTCAATACTATCCTTATGAATCCAGAAATTTGAAAACACTGAAAAACAAATAAAGTCGTACAAATTATCAGTCGATATTTTAGCAAAACTTACGTCTCCTGGCAAACAGAAGACCGACTCTTCTTCCATCATCTTAATAACAAACTGCAAAACATTACTAAATGGAAATCTATTGAAGCAAAGCTCTACCATCATATACATCGTCCCTTGGGGCATGTAGGGTACAAGCCCGTCAATGTTTTGCAACACACTATAAGCCAAAATGGCATTCTTATGCAAAGTATTGATCAAATTATCGTGAAAGCTTTGAGGCGTTTTGAATAAAATCGCAGGCAGTGCTCCTTGAATCAGAGTATTACTTCCAATAATCCTCTGACTCAGACTAATCAGCGCCTTGCGAACATTGGGCTCGAAAGCTCCCGCTTCGTCGCAAATCGCAATCCAACCCAGCCGCCAACCTGGGGCTAAAAACCTCTTGGCCAAACCACCACAAATCAAAAGTGGAACTCCCGAATTCAACACCGCAGTCGAATGAAACGAATTCCCGGGAAACACAAGTCGTTCGTAAATCTCATCCGCGATGAYGGGAATTCGGTGTGTGAACGCYACCTCGAGGACGTCTTTCAGATGGTCAGCACTGTACACCGACCCGCAAGGATTCGAAGGGTTGTTCAAGACGATCACTGCAGTGTTTTGATCGATTTGGGTTCGCAGGTGGTCGACGTCGATTTGCCAGTTTTTTTCAGGGATTAAATTGTAATACTTTACGGTAACTCCGATTACTTCGGCTAAGGTGCGGTATATGGAAAAGCCGGGTCGTGGCATGAGCAAATTGTGGTTCTTTTTTGCATCGCAAAGGGCTGTTATGCAAATTTCCAGCGATGAGGAGCATCCGCTGCATAGAATTATGTCGTTTTTGGTGAACTTCGAACCGTTGTAGTTTAGGTAGTTTGCGACGGCTTCTCTGGATTTGTCGTAGCCGACGCAAGGGGCGTAGCCGTTGCAAGATCCTTCTCGAATGACATCGATGACAGCTTGAGTGGTTTCTTCAGAGGGTTTCAAGTTGCCGTAAACAGTAGGGTCGCCTATGAAGAAATTAACAAAATTACAATTTACACAATTTCAAAATCGAGTTGAAACAATGTCGATTGATCTAAAAAAAATTAAAAAAATTCGAGAAGGAAATTATGAGTATTTCGACGTACCCAATATTAGTTCCTAGTGTTTCTAACATTCTCAAAAGTAAAGAATGTCAGAAAAAAGTAACAAAAAAGCGAATGAAAAAGGGCTAAAATATTTATGTGTCCCATCCAATAAAGATAAAGAGAATCTAATTAATTATTGATAAAGAACCTAATAGTAACAAAAATTCAATTACATATCTTAAAATTATTTAAAAAAATCAATAATGTTATTGATTATCAAAATTTTCTTTTGATTAATTTCGTTGAAACGTTATCTATAATGTGGGTGAAAATTGTTAAAGTTGAATTGAAATAATAATAATGTCAAACTCATTAAATTTGTTCAAAAATTTATTAAAACTAAGGGTGGGTTTACAGAAAGTGAATTAAATCAAAATTCAGTTTATCGAGATTAACTTCAATCTTGAAATCTGATTGGTCATTCATCAAAATTCTACCAATCACCTTACGAATTAAATTTAATTGGAATCAAGTATTTAATTCGGCTTTTATAAACCCACCCTAAGTCTAGCAAACGATACTTTCGGGTCAAAACGCATCACCACTGCAATTAAAATTTAACACATATTTAAAAATTTTTGTACTTGATAGAATTTTACATTATTACAATTATTAGGTTAACAAAATTTTGGAATTCTTTCTTTAGACATTTTTTCTTGCTTTCTTAAAATAATTTTTTTAACCTAATAATGCAAAATTCTATTAAGTTMAAAAAWTTTTAAACACACAGGGTGTTTCACATAATTTTACGASACCTRCGCCTGTAAGATGCAATCAAGAATACATWTTCCGATACGAACTCGATTACAWATTWWAAAAAAGTTTGTTCACCCTTTCAAAAAATTACAACGTTTTTAGTTAGTTAGTGATTAAAATAGATAAACTACAATCATATTCATGCCGTCTCTTATTGCTAGAACAAAATATAATTGTGTCTGAAAAACTACAGTTCATGACTGTTAATGAAACAGTGATTAGTTTGACAATTACTGTCATGGGTTTCCAAAACTTAAATAATTAAATGTGTATTTTTTTGTATTCAGTGTTTTGTGACTTTTGTATATTTGGGTGCGTACATTAGCCGCAAGTCTCGTAAAGTTGTGTGAAACACCCTGTATGTGTTAAATTTTAATTGCACTGATGATAGGTTTTTACCCGAAACTATAATTTGCTAAAACTAGTAATACTGCACATTTTTAATAAATTTTTCAAATGCTAGTAATACCTACTTAAAAATTCCATATTTCACTAAATGAGAAAAATGAAAATTTCGGTAGTTTACAAATCATTGGGAGAAAACGAATTTCTGAAGAATCATGAACTAAATACGATTTTTGGGGCCTTTAATTGATATATTTTTTAGAACATTTAGAAACCGCAAAAGTCGTATCTTTTTATTTGTAAACATTATTTTCAGTTTGAGAAAAAGGTTTTTCACGATTTTAAAGGTGTTCGGAATTTTCCCACCGCTTTGAAAATTTTAATAAAAAAATTACTGTGCACCCAATCAACATTTTTCTAAATTTATTTTAAAGTTTTCTATAATCTGTTCTGAGCTGTAGTGTATATTTTACATTACGTCTTATATCTTACTTCAATAAAACATCAAACAATGTTTTGGCGTTTTATTAGTCACATCAGTACGTAAAACTAAAATTTTACAATGTGATTAGTGTACCTACATAATCATATTTACACTAACTAATCAAACTACAACTCATATTAATAATTTTGTATAATAGATTTTAAAAACCAGACCGCGACTTCTAGAATGTTCCATCCCAAAATCAGCTAAATCCGGACACTATATATTACTTTAATGTATAATAAAAATGAGAAAAAGAAATCAATATTAACGTTTCTTCTAAAGTAAAGTTTTTCTGTTCACTTTAAATGACTTTTTAATTTTAATAAAATTACGAACCTATGGAGAGCGCGATCACTGGCTTCTCCGGATTGGGCTGCAGATCTAGGGTGTCTACGATCTCTCTTATGTAATTTTTACAATTTTTGGCTGTTGTCGAGGAGTCCACTTCCCACAACTGAGATTTTCCTTGAAAAATAATTGATTGTTTTTCCGCCAGTTGGTTATCTAACATCGTCACACAAGAATTTTGAAAATTTTCTGGAAACTGGTACTATTCTTTATCAAGAAAATTATAAATCTGAACGACCTCGATGTAGGCAGGTATTTAAATATTATTCTGCAGAATGAGTTGACACTTTTCAATATCTATTTTTTATTCTCTAACTGGCCACTTGTTTGGCTTCATTCAGTATGTTAATTTTGTTTATCTCATTTTTGCCGCGCGTGTGTTAGGACGTATATTTCAGTTTGAGAAGAACTATTACCATATGGATTAGCAAACCGGATTAATTTTATAAATATTCTAATTTATAAGCGAAAACACGAGTAAAGCTTGTTCCAAATCTCGTGGCGAACTGACGTTGTCAAAAATGACTGAATTTTGCCACTAAACATATGTTTATTTCAAAAACACTGTTATTCTTTAAAAATTATAATAAGTAGGTACATAAGATGAAGAATGATGAACAAATTATTAAATTGTTAACGCATGAAAAGAATTTTCAAAAATAATATTCCTAACAATCCTTGTCTCCAAAATTTTTAGAGAAAAAAAGTACGCCCAAGTGGGCGCACTCGAAGTGTCTTTTCTGTTACTGTCAGTTCGCCACCAGATATGGAATAAGCTCTATCACTCCTAGATATGTAGTCTAAACTTTTAGAGAATTGACACACTGTATAGCTTGCGCAAACCTTTCTAACTATAGCATTGTATATCTTACTCTTCTATCTTCTCGATGGTAGAAAATGCATAAAACAAAAAAATCTTGTTTTGTGAAAGCTGAAATTTTTATTTGGTATCATTAGTATCTCAAAAAAATAAAGTTTTGCAAAAAAAAATCGTACTTGTATTTTGTAAATGTTAATTACGCCTAAAAAATTTCCATCTTCTTTTTGTTTTTTTTTTTGTTGTTTCAATAAAGCAACCTTAGAATCAACTTATGTGCAAAAACCCAGAAAGTTTTTAGATAGTTTACCTCCATATTATTATCGACTTAAAACTTATTTTTTGGGGCGTCTAATCGATAATTAAAAAAATTGGAAAACGCAAAGGTCTTAGTCGTGTTTTTATTTAAAAACATTTAACTCGACATTGAAGTTTGAAAAAAAGGTTTTTGGCGATTTTAATGGTGTAGACTCGCTGGTTATGTATAAAACGCCCCAGGTAGTTCAAGTTCGGAATATTCCCGATCGTTTATAAATTGTTGACAAATATCAGCAAATTTGAATGTGCTTGTTTCTAAAATTATTTATTTTTTTAACACGTAGTTAACATTGAGATTAGCAGTGCATAACTGGGACGCTCAGTACATTTGTATAGTTTGTACTTTATCGTGGTTTGAATTTAAATTTGGGGCTCAGCTTTAAACTTCACTAACTCAAACTGTAAACAAATAAGATCTCTGAGGGTAGCTCTTTAAAAAAATGAATCAAAATAAGCAAAAACAAGTAGCGAAAAAATGTCTTCATTTAATAAAATATATAAAACGGTAAATTTTTTTGTTGAAAATAGGAGCGAGTTTCATTACCTCAAATGTTACCGACAACAGAACCAGCAATGTAAACTTTGAGATAAAGTACTCAAAAGGTTCAAACTTTGTTTATATTGCATTTTTTGACAATTTTTCCCACGCCAAATTGGAGGTTGTATATCTCAGAAACTTTAAACATTAGGATGAGGGAAGTTCAGTTATTTTAACTTCTTCTGAGCTCTACTATCACCTGTTAACATATTTGCACATACTTTATTTCTAGTTGTGAATATAATATATGGTTAGTTTGAAAATATGCAACCAAAAGTTCATATATGAATCAAATCAAACAATCAACAAATTCCACGACAAATTTAAATGTCTTATTAAATATTGTATTGCTGGTTCCGATTTGTTATTAATTTTTAAAATTATATTATGCATTTTACTGGTTGCAAACCAACTAAAATTAAAGTGTTATTCTTACAAACTAAATATTACTTTCTTTAAAACAAATAAAATAATACAAATGAAAACTTGAATTAAACAAAACGTAATTTTTTGCATGACTAAACTTTTAAGTTTACATGGTTTTCTATTATTTATAATCATTTTTGAATTTTTTTTGACTTTTGAAATTTAACTGCAAATGGGACTTTTGTTTTTTTGTTGTTGTTTCATATTTTTATTTGAAAATACTAACTGGGCAATCTATTAAATTTGTTTTAAAATTTTACACATAAAATAAAGATTACTAAACTTTTTTCTATTCTATCTATAAAAAAGATCAAATTTTAGAGCATTATTTTATTGTAGGTAAGCAATTTTCAAAAATTTTATTAAAATTTAAAATCTTATATCTAAAACTGACTAAACAATGACCTTTCTTGCGGTTGCTGATCTCTGTTTGCTATTATTACTACCAACAAAAGTTTGCTTTTCTAATATAATTTTAATAAAAGCATCCTAAGTAACGAAAAGGTTAACCTTAATAACGTTCAAAGATATTCATATTTAGACACATTGTTAGTAATCGTAAACAAATAGTTGTTTTGAATCATCAAATAAAACTCTAAGTAGATACTGATTTTGATTTCAATAAGTGTAATAAGGGAAAGTAAGCTTTGCAAGTGTTCAATGCCTGATCTATTAGCAATATGCTATACAGGGTGGCAACTAAGTGATCAAAATAACGGAAATTGATATCTAACTTTTTTAAAACCCTATATTTTTTTGTTTTATTGTTATTGTTCAGTCGTTTTTAATACACATTTTGTGTAAATAAGTAATTTTTTTTGTTTATCATTTTAGAAACCAAAGATCTCTAATGAGCATTTCAATTATTACATATTATTTTATCTGTACCTCTTGATATCAAAGCGATTTTCTTCTTTACAAAGTATAATTTTATTATTACAAGTTTAAAAGTTTAAATGCAATATCTATTGCATTGAAGTAATTTAAGAAAAATAGTTTTATTTTTTACAACACTGTTGTTGTTGCTGCAGTGTTCTCACATCACACAAGCCGATGAATGAGATGAGCTCTGTGAGTTCGATAACATGAAAGTGGTGGCAATATTTCGCTGAAGATGTGTCTTCACGTAGGAGGATAGTTTTGCAACTTGATTACCTTCATATAGATAATATAAAAACCCTCCTTTTACAAAATATAATTATTAATGTCTAGTGTTTAGTGCAGTATCCTTCCATGTAGTAAGACATGATCACAGCATGGTATGGTTAAAAATTAACTCATTTTTTTCATTTTTAGAAGAAAGATATGAGTAACGAAAAAATTAAAACTTGCGTTTGCAATATGTATTTAATTAATTAAATGTCTTTTTCTAATATATCCAACTACATGTACATAATTGTTGTTACAACAAAAACTTTCTCTCTTACTTCAAATTTACTGAAATCACACCGGTGTCAAATTACCTTGTAATCATTTTAGTTATTTGCTTCTGTATGATTGATTAATATTTTGTCCCCAAAGACTGTCAACTTTTATTATTAATGCCATCATAAAACTTAATGAGAAAATTTAGAAAAAGCTGCAGAAAGAGTATCGTATTTGTTTTTTCACAATTCCCCAACACTGCATACCTATAATGGCATTGTTTTGTTTTGAAAAAATTTTGCTTAATCCTAGTTTTCAAAATATCAAATTAAATTATTGTAATACTCTATTAGATAACTGAAACATGCGTTTAAAAAAATTAGTTTTTAATTTAAAAATTAATACATACGGGGTAAACAATGGAATCCTTTGCCTTCAGAAAATAATAAATTAATAAAAACTAGAGTGCTATAAAAATTTGATCATGTTTAGAGAATGAAATTTTGTTTTATTTTTGAATTATGCAATTTATTTTTTTATTTTGTACTCAATGTTAAAGAGTGCTTTTATCAACTAATTTCAGTAGATAAAGTATTTTTTATCTACTGTTTATATTCAAGAAAGTTGCCATAGGAACAAATTAAAATTTTGTAGAAAAATTCGAAAAATTGTATTTTTGAGAAACCTCAAATTTTTATAGTATTGTTCATCAATTAATTTTGTCAAAAAATAAACAGTTTAAGTAAAAAACGTTTGGTTTCATACTTTCTGTTTTTCTGGTATATTTTCGTTTTAAAAATAAATAAAAAAGCAATAATAGAGTTAGAGGTGTTTGAGATATTATTTTTTCATCTCTAACCAAGTCGCAAACCTTTTATAAATAAGTTATTTGCAGTTCCCTTGCCATAAACGTGCTTTCTGAACCTTAAAATGTTATGTAACTGCAGCCATATATTGCTGAAATTGTCAGTTATATTAATTATTTAAAAATAACCTATTGATATTACTCCTTTAACATTTAAAATTCAAAGGTTATCTTCAGTGCAATTATTACAAATATTGAATAGCACAAACCGACACTCATAATTCATTGTTCTCAACTAAATAGTGTAAAAGTTATTAAATTAAATAATTTTTGAGGCAAGTTTGTGTATTGACCTTGGTTGTTCATATTACTTTGAAACAATTTTTATTTAATTTTATCTAAATTACCATAAATATTCTGCTATTATAATGAAGAGCTGTATTAAAATTGTTCAAGTATTACACGATTGTTAATAAATAATTGAAAAGTATTTTTTTAAAGGATATCGTGTATGTCTTACAGGATACAATTTACAACTTAAATTAAAATAGACATAAGTATATTTAAGTGTCTTGTAGTTTGGATTTTTTTAATTATAATTTGAATAAGATTCTTCAGGTTTTACACTTTTGACATTTATCTACAAGATTTTTTAAAACCGGAATCAACAAAAAAAAAATTAAAAACGAAATATTCTTTATACTCGATTTATAATTTATATAAAATATTAACTTTTCAATATAAAGATATATTTTTTGGTTTTATGGATGTTGTCATATTAATTTGCGTAAAATTTTAGAGTTGACAAAATAAAAGTATGGGATGGTTTTAATAATGCATTTATTTAACATTTGAAAATGTAAATTTTTTTAGTATGATGCATCTGGAAAGTGTAACATCTGATATGAATTTAATAAGTTAAATTCCATTCGAAAGCATTTTCGTTGATATGAGGGATATCCTTGACATGCCAAGGAAATAAATTATTGATTTATAAAAATAACTCCGGATTATTAGAATATTTTGATGATACATTCTGACCTTTTGTTTTTATTTAATACTTATATTATGGATATTAGCTCTTTTGTAAACTCTAATTTAGATTCATTGACAGCTAACATATTAGAAAATACAATCATTTAATTTTAAGAAAAGCAAATACTTTCACGTTGATATCCTTGATTCGAACGATGTGTACATCGTTTTTTGTTTGTAGTACAAATTATTTTAAATTTTACGCGAATGGTAACCTTATTCAAATACGGTGTCAAATAAATTCTAATGAAAACCATGACACATCTTCTAACAATTTAACAAAATCATTTGAAGCTTTATTATATAATTTTTTAATTATTTTTAAATGAAATTACATTAACTTTATAATGCATAAAATAACCATCTGAGATGAATATAATGTCATTGTCATGGTCATGGTTAGTACATATAATAAAATCATGGAAGCGTTGACATTTTTTAAAGGTAATAGTAATAATAAAGTAATAAGTTATAATAAAGTATGCTAGTGTTACATTCTTTTTTTTTTCTTAATGAAAATTTTAATTTTTTTAAATCTGTTTCATTTCGTGCTTACGTGTTACCTACGTATTTTTATTCTACAACAAATAAAAAAACTTAGCAGCCCAATAATGACTAAAGAAATAAGTTGATTCAATATAATTTTCTATTAACCATAAATGTAAGTTTTTTGGGGGGTTTTCAGCGAATCTGGTCACAAATAAGTTTTACTGTTTAACCTTGAGAAAGCTCACTTATGAAAATAGTGGTAAAGGAATTTTAAAAGTAGAGACTAGAAAGTGCAATTTTATTACTCTACAATTATAAAACAATAAATATAGAGAAAAAAGTAAAAACCTAAATAAAATATACGTAGTTATTCCACAGATGTGTTAGTTGTACAATAATTGATCAATGATTAGGTATTTGATGAAGCAATCAAAATATTTTTTTGCCTTGAACTACATCTTCACTACATCAAACAAAATAAATTTTTCACCGTATTTCACTAATCATTGATTCTCTTTACCGATAATTAAGAATTAATGATCAATGTTTCAGATATTGTAATCAAAATATTGTTAATTTTAAGAAATGTAAGATGTTATAAATTGTGRTGATTCTATTACACTTAAAAWATGCAACTTAAAGTAGGTTTAATTGATTAATTCTGTTAAAACAACCACATTTAAGTAAATAATTTATAGCTGTTTATRGTTAGTTGTGTAGATAAAATATTAATTAAGATTAGTAGTCGAAAGAAGCGGCATTTTRTTGCAGGTGGTAATTAACATTTTTGCRACCAAGGTGGTAACTCAGTATCTATAACTCATATATCAATCAGTAATATATTGTCTAATAATTATGATGTAATGCTTTAGTAGTTTAGTATAACTTGGGTTTTCATCTTACATAAGAAAGAACGTCGCATGTGTAAAGTAGTTGACATTTACTTATGCGTCTGTGACCTTTTAACATTAGTATTCATTATTTATTTTATAGTTTATTTTGAGATTCCGCTACCTGTCTGTTAGCTATCATAAAAATGACGTAAGGAATCATGTTTGGTTAAAGAAGATGCATTGACAAGTCTCGAACTTAATTATTTAATATGTGTGAGAATGAAGAGACCGATTTTTGTTACACTTTTTACATTATGCTGTAATAGAGGAAACAAATAAAAAAAGCTAGTGAACAGAACTAGCTAGGAAAGAACAGAACTAGAAAAGCTAGGGAACAATTCATTATTTTCATTGTCAACCTTTAATTAACTATTTATCCGTCATTATTTTAAGTCGAGTTTTAAGTAAAAAAAATACAAAATCTCATTGCATATCTAAAAAAATCTTTTTTTCTTGCAGAGGCAAGCCTTTATATGTTTGTTAGTACCTCTGGTGCTAACATCAGCGCAATTTCAATATGAACAATCACAAAATACATCGACTGCTTTAAAAAGAATCCGCCGTCAAGGATATCAGTATCCGAAACCCTCTGTCCCATTTGAGGAAGGAATTGCGATAAAACCAATTTACAAGACACCGTCTACAACTCAACATCCCTACCAACCCGTTTCAGTGACGGTACCTATCAAGCAACCAACCTATAAACCTATTCCAACTCAACCACCATCTTATACGGTACGACCGACTCCACCAACGTTTAGGCCGCAACCAACTCAAAGTACAACATTTAGACCATCGACAATTTACAAATCTCCATCCGTGTCAACGACATTCGGCTATAGTTACCCAAGACCTTCGACTTCTCTAGAGATTAAGAGTACAACAAGGGCACCGGTTACACAACGTCCTTTTACTTTTACAACTCCGGCGTATAAACCACAACCTACAACACCATCTCGAATCTCATACACACCGATACAAACTCAACGACCCTCGACACAACCACCGTTTAAATTTCAACCTACCTCACCACCTTCTCCGCCWGCACAMACGGGATACAGTTATCCTCGTCCTTCGATTCCATTTGAAATAAAAACTACTTCAAAACCATTTACTGTTCAAACCCAACCGCCTTACCGACCTCAGCCTACACAACCGCCCTTTAAACCACAACCAACTCAGCCTCCRTATCGACCACAACCTACACAACCACCGTTCAGGACTCAGCCTACACARCCTCCTTTTCGACCTCAACCTACTCAACCTCCATTCAAACCTCAGCCTACTCAACCACCATTTAGACCACAGCCTACTCAACCACCATTTAGACCACAGCCTACTCAACCACCATTTAGACCGCAGCCTACCCAACCACCAGTTAGACCACAGCCTACTCAACCACCATATAGACCTCAGCCTACACAACCACCATTTAGACCACAACCTACTCAGCCCCCTTTGAGACCTCAACCAACTCAACCTCCATACAGACCACAACCTACACAACCACCATTTAGACCACAGCCTACTCAACCACCATATAGACCTCAGCCCACACAACCACCGTATAAACCACAACCTACTCAGCCTCCATTTAGAACCCAGCCTACCCAGCCTCCGTTTAGACCTCAGCCCACACAGCCTCCATTTAGACCACAGCCTACTCAACCACCATATAGACCTCAGYCTACGCAACCACCGTATAAACCACAACCTACCCAGCCTCCGTTTAGACCTCAGCCCCAAGGTGGTTATGAGTATCCACGTCCATCTAAGCCATTTATAGAGCCACAGCCAACAAGTCCACCAAAAGTACCTGTATACAGACCTCCTCCTCCACCACCTCGGCCACCAACACCTCCCCCAATAAGACCTCCAGTATATACACCTCCACCAACTCCTAAAGCTCCAGTGTATACTCCACCTCCTCCAAAACCGCCAACGAATAAACCTACATATTTACCACCTCCACCACCGCCTCCGCCATCTCGGCCCCCACCGCCTCCACCACCTAGACCTCCAGTATACAGACCTCCACCACCACCAACTCCACCGAAACCTCCAGTATACAGGCCTCCACCTCCACCGCCGCCTCCGCAGCCTCGTCCACCCGCACCTAGATTGCCTCCACCACCACCCCCAATAAGCAAACCCACATATCTACCACCTCCTCCACCAACTAGATTACCAACGCCTCCACCCCCGAGGCCTCCAGCATATACACCGCCGCCACCTCAAAAACCATCAATAAATAAGCCCTCTTATTTACCACCCCCGCCACCGCCTCCTCCACCACGACCTCCAGCACCTAGACCACCGCCACCGCCGAAACCTCCAATATATACACCACCGCCAACTCCAAAAACTCCGGTCTATACTCCACCTACACCAAAACTACCAGTAAGCAGACCTACATATTTACCGCCTCCACCACCGCCACCCCCAACTCGGCCTCCGCCACCACCACCACGACCTCCAGTATACACACCAGCTCCATCTCCCAAATTTCCGGTATACACACCGCCTCCAACAAGACCACCAGTAAGCAAACCCAC